CCACCTCCTGTTTTTGCCAATTACTGAACCCGTAGGCCGTAGTGCTCCCACCTTACTGTTTTTCCTGCAGTTTCGAACTGGTCTTCGCCCAAGCTTGCAGTGGACTGTTATTCCTGCGAATTCGAAACTGTGCAGCAGTCACAGGCGCAGTTGTCTCTTCGATGTTCTAGCGGTTGATGAATGCTCCATTTTGCAGGTTTGGGGCCTCGCCGCACCACTCTTGAAAACTCGTTTTCAAGAGTTGCTGCGTGGCCATGCAGCCTCTTGAAACTTGGGGCTTTCAAGAGCTGTCAGAGTGGCTCTTGAAACCCTTTCAAGAGCTGCTCTTCAAATATTCAAAACCTCAGCCTGCAGCTCGTGCATTTTCAAGCGTCCTTGGCCGAACCCTTGAGGGACTATCAATTTTCAAGAGTTGTCAGGCCGTTGTCCTGACGCCATTCGAAAAAAACATAGATGTGCGACTGTGGTTTTTCATCCTTTGTCCAACACCATCGCCCTTTTGAGAGTGCTGTGTGGCGAGGGGCCGAAAACTCTTGAAAACCGATTCTTGAGAACGTCTGACAGCTCTTGAAAAAATGTGGCATACTCCGTACCACACGGGCCCAGCAGAGCCCGACCTGGTAGACTAAGGGTCTGTAGGAGTAGGGCCTGTTTCGTTTTCAGCCTAAAAGCCTGAAACGAGGGCCTACAGGCCCTGTGTCGTTTCGGCTTCCAGCCTGAAAACGACGGGCCATTTTCAGGCCCTCGCAAGATCGACTTACCCTGAAACTCAGGTACCAGACCGGGGTTTTAGCTCAGGCCACCATGGCCTATTTTGTGGAGCGCCAACCCCAGGGTCTGGCACGTTTTGGCATAGGCACGAGCAGCCTCTCGGACGAGCCAGCACTATATAATGCTGACCCGCCCTGTAGGCTGCAGGCAGTTCCCAGGCACTTCACATGCAGAGGGCAGGAGGTAGTCTTCAGGACTCGGCAGCGGCACTCTGGAGGAGTAGTAGCGATAGCAGCAGTCTTCAGCGCTGGGCGCTAGTAGGAGAGAGAGAGAGAGAGATGGTTGGCGGAGGCCAGGGATACTCACCTGCGGCGCCATAGCTCCAGCTTCGTCTTCGCGGTACCTGCAGCAAGGCGCCACCTTCACAGGTTAGTATCGGACAGAGAGAGAGAGAGATTGAGTTCTTCTTCTTCCTCCTCTAAGTCCACCATCTTTTCCTCACCCTCTCGGCCCCTGACTTCTCTGGAGGAGTAGTAGCGATAGCAGCAGTCTTCAGCGCTGGGCGCTAGTAGGAGAGAGAGAGAGAGAGAGATTGTTGGCGGAGGCCAGGGATACTCACCTGCGGCGCCATAGCCCCAGCTTCGTCTTCGCGGTACCTGCAGCAAGGCGCCACCTTCACAGGTTAGCATCGGACAGAGAGAGAGAGAGTGATTGAGTTCTTCTTCTTCCTCCTCTAAGTCCACCATCTTTTCCTCACCCTCTCGGCCCCTGACTTCTCTGTATCTACCGGCTACGAGAGAGAGAGAGAGAGAGAGAGAGAGAGAGAGAGAGAGAGAGAGAGAG